TTTTTTTTTTTTTTTTTTTTTTTTTTTTTTTTTTTTTTTTAGTACTAGGTATCGAACTTGAGACCTTGCATTTGTGAGGTGGGTGGCAGAACCATTGAGTTCTTAAAACTCAAATTATCCAGCTGCTCTGCACACTTTAGACTGCCCAGCGGAAATCCCACCTTCTGCCTGCCACTGTCGGGAGTGCTGTCATCCTGCATTTTAGCTCCCTGAGGTCCCAGACCTTCCCAGAGTTCCTGTGTGTGCATGCTCTGCTCTCTGGGCCTCAGCTTCCCTGCTGTAACGCAAGGGAAGGGCAGTGGTGGTGACTCGGTTTCCATCTAGCCATCCTTTCCCGAGGGGTCTTCCCTACTGCATTGCTCTGCGGGGCAAAGATCAGAGAGAAGAGAGTTGCTGTGGACCAGAAGGGCCCACGGCTGAGCTGCTTGGACCAGACAGCCTCTGAAGCGGAGGAGAGGAAGGGAAAATCGCCTGCTCCTCGGAGCCCTGACTGCGTGCTGGAAGCTGTTCTCCGCTCATCCCCTCCCTGCAGCCTGGGTGGCGAATGGAACAAACCTTGCCCCCAGTCGGGGGCGTCTGGGCCAGATCCACTGGTGACATTATTGTTCCACTGAAGCTTCTCCTCCGTGTTTCCGATTGCGGACTCCGGGAAGCAGGGTGTGCACAGCTCCGAGCTTTGAGCTAGAGTTTCAGAGCCTTGCTGAATGGGCTCATTCTGTGCCCATCGCAGCTGTCCAAGCACACCCCGTGACCCCTGGGGTCCTCCCGGCCCCTCCTTGAAGCTCAGATGGTATGGTCCAGCCCTGACCGCTCCAACACTGGCTGTTCCAGTGACCGACTGGCCCCTCACCACGGGACGGTGGGCAGGGCGGCTCAGAGATGGGCGGCCCTCTCTCCCCTCTGCTTTCTAAACGCTGTGTGTTCCCAAAGCCATGCTTTGTTTTCTCCTCCACCCAAACCACCGGTGGGACTGGTCGTCTCCGGCACACACAGCCCTTTGTTCGCTGTGCGTTTGTTTGTTGGCAGTTGAGCAGCTCTCTGTGGTGCAGGTTGGAGGCCAGCCCAGGGCAGGGTGAGATCGCAGATGCTGGCACAGGTGCCACTCTCCCCTCCTGCTGCTGCTCCAGCCTAGACCCTCGCACTCCCCCCAGTAATGAGCACCAGCTTTCCTTTCTCCTCCCTCAGGGTCTCACAGTCTTTTTCAGACGGGCTTCCGTGAGGAGCAAATCTCCTTCAGAAATGAGGTTTTGATAACGGGAATCCTCTGGAAACGTAATCCATGGTTGAAATATTCTCGACTTTTGAACAAGTACCCAAGACACTAGGCCCTGGACTCTCACACGCCAGTCCTCTGCCACCCGGGGAGGGTACTGTGCAGGCAGCAACAAGACAACACCGCCCTGACTCATTCGGCGTCGGTTCCATACATAATTTTGAGCATCCTTAAGTTTCCGGGAATCGGGCTTGCTCTGTGGAGACAGCATGAATGAGATAATGGCCTGGAGACAAAGTGCTAGGAAAAAGAAGAACGCTGTCAAAGGGAGCCACCAGTTCCTTGTGGATGGGATTTAAACTGTAAGGTAGGAGGGCCGGAGACTTAGCTCAGTGGGACTTCACCCGCCTCCGAAGCGGAAGGTCCTGAGTTTGATCCCCAGTTCCAAAAAACAAAACAGAACAAAGGTAGGAATGAGTGAAAAAGCCGAAGGAGAAAGGTCACAGGAGGGTCTTCACCCCTTTTCACAGAGAAATCTGCTGGACAGCAATTTATTCAAATTATTCAACACACGCAGCTGGCTAGAAGGCCAGGACTCGAGTGCCTGAAGGAAAGAAGGGGAAACATCGCGTTATCTATTTATCTACAGTGCTGGGGATTGCTCGGGGCCTCGAACATGCTGGGCAAGTGCTCTGCCCAGTCCAAGGTGACCAGGTGGCTTGGTAGAGGCCCCTCTCAACAAGTGGTGTTCGAGATGAGCATTGAGGAATAAGAAGCAGCCAGCTTTGGGAAGGTGAGGATTCAGCTTGTGCAAAGACCCTGTCATGGTGTGTGTCCAGCTGGCCCCTGAAAGCCTCACAGGGTCATAGGTGTGGCTTTTTCACAGGTGGCTGGGCTGTGATGCTGGATTTGATTCAAGGTGCCATGGTAGGATGAGGGCGCTACGATTGAGGGTGTGAGTGCTGCCCACCCTAAGTAGTCTGCTTTAGTATCTTCTGATCTGTCTGTCCTGTGGTTGAGAATTAGATACAGACTGGCTCTCGGGGCACAGAGATGAGGACGTTCTAGGGGTTCCGTCTCTTCACCACATTGTTTCTCCTTCACAACGCCTGTGTATGGTGCCACGCTGCCTTGTGCCAGCCCATTATGAACTGAAGCCTCTACAAACTGTGAGCTAAACAAACCTTCCCTCCCTTAACCTGTGGGTATTGGGTGTCTTATCTCAGCAATGAGAGAAGTAACTAAGACAGGCTCCACGATGGGAACCTACCGGGCCAGTGAGCAGTGTACTTGGGGATGGAAACAAACACCGATGTGCTTGGAACTTACCCAGCATGGCAGTGGGATAGATAGAGTTCAGAGAGGGACGTAGGGATGAATCGCCAAAAGCTTTATGGATTTTGAGAGTAACAAAAGCCTTGAGAAGGTGTTTTAAGATGATCGCGCTCCCTGCAGGTTTTACTGATCCTGGGCCCTTCTACCTCCTGGTTCACCTGTAAACGGAGGCCTTGAAATCCTGCAAGGTGGAGCAGCCCCACCACCTCCCTAACCCCTTGTGCCTCCGGGCCCTGAGAACTCTGAGGGCCCAGCGTCTTCCTCCGAGTCCTCCAGGGTGCCAATCACACATCCTCCCTGAGAAGCAGGAGGGGCGCTGGGCCCCGGGGGGGCTCCCCTCACCCGGGCTCTCGCCCCCGCCTCCTTCCACCCTGACGCTCCCTAAGCC